ATGTTCGGAAATCGAAATCTACCTTCGTCATGTTAGTCACCTATTTGTTTATTTATTATTTTGTGTCCCCGGTCGCGATATTCTTAACACACGTCGCTTGTAATATATTTTTATTTCGTGTAAATTTTATTTTATATATATTTTAATATGCTTGTGGCATTTATCGCCACAGTTTGTTATATTCCAATACATATTGTTGCAAAAAGACGCCTCAATGCAAATGTTTGCTATAATCGGAGAAACGAAAAAAAAAACATTTTGTGGCTGCGTTCTCATTATTTCTCACGCGAATGGGCGATGGAGGGGCCCATTTTATTCTCGATATTTAAAAAAATATTATATAATATTTTTTCATTATCGAGTTACATATAATTATCAATATAATTACTTATCATTCACATGTGTGTGTATAAATATATTTACTGAGCATTCACATGTATGTATAAATATATTTACTGAGTGTTTTAAATAAAACGTTACAATTTTTTATTTCTAAAACTATAATTTTTACTATAATAAATTATTGTATAAGTAGAAACTTTCAGACTTTTAAATCATAAGAAATTAATTATATGTATAATCATATTCGATTATTTCTCTCACACATTCTGTGATTATAATTAATCTCTTACGGATTAAATATTATATTTATTATAGATATTATAGATTTGACTAAAAACTGTCATTTGATTAATGTGGTTTTCTGACAGGTAAACCTCAAGATCGATTAATTCTGAATTACATGCAAGAATCGTCAACAAAGATAGATTGGCTGCACATTAAGATTTCTCAAATTTTGAACAAATTGTTTCCCAATAATGACGCTTTTGATCAGCCTGAAAGATTGTATATGTAGAAACTTTATACATATATATGATTATACATATAATTAATTTCTTATGATTTAAAAGTCTGAAAGTTTCTACATATACAATAATAATAAATTATTGTATATGTAGAAACTTTCAGACTTTTAAATCATAAGAAATTAATTATATGTATAATCATATTCGATTATTTCTCTCACACATTCTGTGATTATAATTAATCTCTTACGAATAATAAAAATTGTTTTCATTGGCAAGTGATAGTTTTTGGAACCGACTATTTTTATTCAAATTTATTAATTAATATAATGAGAGTTACTAATGTTATTGACAATGATGACTTTTTTATATTATAAACAAATTACTATAAAAGTTCGATTATATAACTGTGCAATATTCCGTGCTACGCGGAGTGTTTAGTTAGTGCGCGGACGCGAGTGTCAAGTTTAGGACGGCACAGAAAAAAAAAGAAAAAAATAAAGAAAGTTCACGGCACACAATATATTTTTACAAATAATTACACAGCGCAAAAGAAACGCTCTAATGCAAGTGAACTGCAATTAGAAGCGTGCAATGATTGCCGGAAGTGCAATCCAACGACAAAATCGATCTCCCGCGAGAAGTGCGACGAAAATCGAGAAGAGCGAAAAGGAATGCTGTCTGTACGCGCGAACGACCGTACGCCGATAGATCCGTTCGACAAGAGAGAGCGTGAACCAACGTGATTGTTTTCTACCGACCTTCGAGAGAGTTCCGAGGTAAGGAACACCGTGTTTGTGTTCCTTCCACATGACGATAGAATCCTCTCGAATGTCGGAGGACAAAATCACTTGTTGTCGTCGGTTATATTTATGACGAGACGGTTACCTGTCACCGTTCAAAACGACAGGTATTGCGAGCGTTAAAGACGCGCGCGGTCTTGCGATATGGCGGGGCGCGTTCGCTCGCGATTGGCGCACGGGGATTTAGCGCGAATCGTCGCCAAATTCGAGCGGCTATTTCAGCGCAGTTAGCTGCGCTTGTCGCAAGGCGAAGAATGCACTCCGAGATGCATTCCCACACACCCACACACACACACTCTCTCTCTCTCTCTCTCTCTCTCTCTCTCTCTCTCCAATCCGCAACATCCCGCCCGCCTTCGTCGGGAACACGCGACGAACTATCCTAGGGTTGCTAGGGATAGTGTGTCGACTGGTTTTATCGTCGCGGCCGCGGATCGAGCGCGAACGCGAGTTTTGACAGGCGAGGTTAGGAGCCCCATGTGCCACGTGCTGAGCGAGTGGAGCTGCGACAGACGACTAAATATGCGAGACAGGTAAGTATGAGAAGAGTTAACGCAGTACAATTGACAATAGTGAGACGAACGACTAATTTTATAACTAATTTTACAATATTTCACAGATATTTGCCGAGCGCGAGGTTGCACGAGACACGCGGTTACGCGGGGGTCCCGGACTCCACGGCGGCTACCGTCGGCAGTGGAACCAGCTTGACCACTGGCCGGGTCAGTTCACCGACGGTGGTGCGGACGTCCACCACGCGCACTTGGCCATCCTCGCCTGGGTGTAAGCGCGTAACTCGGGCGAGCGGCCACCGGCACGGCGGGGTGCTCTCTCCTTTGATGAGGCACAGCTGACCTTCGCAGAGGTTTCCCCGGGAGGTCCACCACTTGGGCCGTGGTGTGAGTCCCTGCAGGTATTCGCGGGTCCATCGCTGCCAGAGATGGTCCCGCATCTGCTGCAGAAGTCGCCACCGGTTCAGACGGTTAGTAGGGGCGTCCAAGAGGGACGGCTCCGGGATGCTGAGGAGAGGCCCTCCCACCAGGAAGTGCCCCGGCGTCAGGGCGTCAAGGTCGTCTGGATCATCCGACAAGGCCCCGAGGGGCTTTGAGTTTAGGCAGGCTTCGACCTCCGCGAGGAGCGTGGACAGCTCTTCGAAGGTGAGCTTAGCCTCTCCGATGGTGCGCCGCAGGTGATGTTTGACGGCCTTGACAGCCGCCTCCCACAGGCCGCCGAAATGGGGAGCCGACGGTGGATTGAAGACCCACCGAACTCCCTCGTCTGCTAGGCGGCCAACGAGGGCGTGGACTTCGCCGCTCGCCGCCCTGAAGAGCTCTCTGAGTTGTCGATCCGCACCCACAAAATTGGTGCCGCAGTCGCTATATAGGGCCGTGCATCTCCCTCGACGCGACACGAACCGGCGAAAGGCAGCGAGGAAGGCTTCGGCGGAGTAGTCGCTGGTCACCTCCAGGTGGACGGCGCGGGTACTGAAACATACGAAGATTACCAGGAAGCCCTTGTGAGCTTTGTGACCGCGGCCCTTCGTCGTCCTGAGCCAGACCGGGCCAGCGAGGTCCACGCCGGTGTGAAGGAAGGGTCGACTTGGTGTGACCCGCGTCCTCGGCAGATCCCCCATCTTCGGTTGCGGAGTGGCCGCCCGCCATCGCACGCAAGAGAGGCAGCGATGTATGTGACTTCGTACCAGTTGACGGGCGCGTGGGATCCAAAAGCGTTCCCTGATGTTCCCCACGGTGGACTGGACTCCTCCATGCAGGGTGCGTTTGTGAGCGGCATCGATCACCAGGTAGGTGAGGCGTGATTCCGGTGGTAGGATGACTGGATGTCGCTGGTCGGCATCCAGAACAGCGTGTTTCAGCCGCCCGCCAACCCGCAGGACCCCCTCATCGTCGAGCATGGGAGCCAACTTCCTGAGTGAGCTTCTGGTCGCCAGCGATTTCCCGGTACGAAGGTCCCGCAGCTCTAGGTGGAAGTTCGCTTCCTGGACTACCCGGATCCATCGAGTCAGGGCGGCGTCCATCTCCTCCGGCCCCAGTAGGTCAGGAGCGGCCTCGTCGCTGACGGGGCGGCGCTGGCGAGTTGCCCAACGCCAGATCCAGGAGGATACGCGTAGTAACCGGCGAAGGCTGGAGAATCGGCGAAGCTCTTCAGGTTCCAGCACTTCCCTGACCACGTGGCATTTTTGCGGTCGCTGTTCTGGCAGGCTGGTCTCTTCCTGGGATCCTACATCCTTCGGCCAGGTGTCAGGATGACCGCTGAGGTAGGTCGGCCCATGCCACCACAACGGATGGCGTAGCAGCTCCCTCGGCGACACCCCCCGGAAGGCGCAGTCAGCTGGATTGTCTCTGCCGGGTACGTGCCGCCATTTTGCGTCTTGGTTCTCTCGGTGGATTTCGGCGACTCGGTTGGCTACAAATGTTGTCCATCTTGCAGGGTGTCCTCGGATCCAGCCGAGCGTGACTGTGGAGTCCGTCCAAAGATGCACCGCCGATCCTTCTAGGCCCAAGGAGGACCGGACGTGTTCGGCCAGTTTAGCCAAGAGGGTGGCCCCGCAAAGCTCCAGGCGGGGGAGCGATACACGCTTGACCGGTGCGACCTTGGTCTTAGCGACTACCAGGGTTACGTCGGGCTGCCCGTCGATCACGCCCCTGAGGTAGATCACGGCAGCGTAGGCTCGTTCGGAGGCGTCGCAGAATCCGTGCAGTTGTTGCGAGTTGTTTGCAGCGTCACCCTGGAACCAGCGTGGCACCCTGATCTCCTCAAGCAAGGGCAGCTCCTCTTCCAGGCGGGTCCACTCGGCGGCGTCGTCCCTTGTCAGCGGAGCGTCCCAGTCTAGCTGCTGTATCCAGGCTGATTGGACGAGCAGCTTGGCACGTACTATGATCGGCGCCAACCAGCCTAGTGGGTCGAAGAGACGTGCTGTCTGCGAGAGCACCGATCTCTTCGTCGGTAGAACCGTTGAGGTTGGTCGTACGGAGAGGGAGAGAACATCCTCCCTTGGATTCCATCGGAGGCCCAGGACGGAGTGACTCTCAGACGGCAGTCGGGCACCTGTCATGACGTCCAAGCGATGTGCGAGCGGGATTTTTACCAGGAGGCGATCGTCGTTGGCAGCCCACTTCCTAAGCGGGAAGCCGCCCGCCGTACAGAGCGCGGCCACCTGGTCCAGGAGGTCGTTCGCTGCATCTAGGGTGGCGGCTCCGGTGAGTACATCGTCCATGTAGACATCCTGGCGCAGTACATCGGCGCCCAGCGGAAAGCGGCCAACCTCGTCGTTCGCGAGTTGATGGAGCACGCGGATGGCGAGGTACGATGCGCTCGCTAGGCCGTACGTCACGGTATTCAGCTGGAATTCCTTGACCTCATCTCCCTCTGTTCACAGGATCCGCTGCAAGTCCCGGTCGTCGCGGTGCAGCTGTATCTGACGATACATCATCTTGATGTCGGCGACAAAGACATAGCGGTGTCGCCGCCAGCGAGTCAAGGTGTCGGCTAGCGACGGCAGCAAGTTACGTCCGGTGAGCAGCCAGTTGTTCAGTGACGACCCGCCGCCAGTACGCGCCGAGCCGTTGAACACCACCCGGATCTTGGAGGTCGTGCTTGAGCTCCGTAGCACCCCGTCGTGAGGCAGGAAGCAGATTCTGGAACCTGGCGAGAGCGACGCGGCGGAGACAGGCGACATGTGTCCGAGTGTCAGGTACTCGTTCATGAAGTCGCGATACAGTAGACCGAATTCGCGATCTTGAACGAACCGACGCCTCATGACGTCGAGGAGCCGTGACGCGGCGCGGCGCGTGGAGCTGAGATCCGGCAGCCCCGGACGGAACGGGAGTCGCACCTGATAGCGACCGTCTTCAAGTCGCACGTGGGTGCGCACAAAATGGTCCTCGCACTCCCGTTCGTCAGCGGTCAGCGGCAAGGCGGCACGAGGATGCTCTTCGGTCTCCCAGAAGCGGCGCACGAGAGCTACCAGATCGTCCCCCGTGGAGCATTGTAGAGACGACACGGGAGCCGCGACGTGACCGGCTCCAACGACGCCCAGCAGCACCCAGCCAAAGCGAGTCAACAGGGCACCGGGCTCGCGAGGTCCTCCTCGGCGAAAGCCCTCCGGCAGAGCGAGGTCCAGATAGACATCGGCGCCAAGCAGCAACTCCACAGCATCCCGGCGGTGGAACTCCGGGTCTGCAAGCTCGAGACCGTCGAGGTGGGGCCAGGAACGGGCCTCGCCCTCCGAGGTTCCACCGTACACCGTGAGGCGTGGGAAGACAAGCGGCGAGACGGCGAGCGCAAAGTGTCCATCGCGAGAGGAGACGGTGGCGGTGATCCGTCCGTGAGTGACGCCCGTCTGGATGCCTCCCACTCCAAAGATGGCCACTGACGATGGGGTCCGCGGGAGCCGAAGTCGCTGCGCCAAGGATTCCGCTATCAGCGAGGTTTCTGAGCCCGGGTCGATCAACGCGCGGACCGCATGCCGAGTACCCACGCGGTCGGCCACGAATACACGGGCAGTTGCCAGAAGCGCCGGTCCACACTCCCGCGGTGGTCGCCTCGCGACGTGGACTGTCGCCGTCGGAGATGAGGATGCAGTCGCAGGTAAGGCCACAGCCGCAAAGGCGTCGTGCAACGTCGTGTGATGCCGGCCTGAGCATGTAGCGCACGTCTTGTGCGACTTACAATCGGCTAGCAGATGACGACCCAGGCAGTTCCAGCACCGCTGGTGAGTGTTGATGGCTTCCCGCTTCTCGCTAACCGTCTTCTTCTTGTACTGCTCACAATAAGCAATAAAGTGATCCTTTTTGCAGAGCGGACAGCTGCGGTGCGGATCAGGCCCCCTGGTACCCACATGGCTACTGCGAGAGGAGCGGCTGGACTTCTCCGTTGGCTTGGCAGGCGCTACAGTCTTCACTGACTGGAGGACCTCCCAGGTCATCAGTTGTTCCTGGAGGAACTCCCGGAGCTTGTCGTAGGACGGAGGCTCCGACGACCTTCCGAGGGAGCTCTCCCACTCACGTCGAGTTTCAGCGTCCAGTAGTTCGACGACCAGGTGGACGAATAGATCTGTGCAGTCGGAGATCGGGCGCCCGATGCTCTTCAGTGCACCGACTGTCGTGAGCACGCCGTGGAACAGTCGGCGTAGTCCATCGGCTGACGGGGCCTTCAATCGCGGCAGCGAAGTGAAGGCTGTCAGGTAGGATCTGACCAGTAAACGTTTATTTTCGAAATACGTAGTCAATAATTCCCACGCATCCTCCAAGTTTTCTTCAGTAGAAGGCAGGTTGCGAATCAGCTGTTCAGCATCACCCTTTACGCTGGTTTTCAGGTAATGCAGCTGTTCAATCTTTGTCAAGGACGCGTCTCCTAGGACCATGGAGCTGAACAGATCTCGGTAGGCTGGCCAGTCCTCGAACTTGCCGCTAAACTGCGGTAGGTTGATCCGCGGTAAAGTTCGGCGGGACGGAGCCGTCTCTCGGACCCGTTTGCCGAGGGCGGGCCCCACAGGCTCGATGAACTGCTCCTCCAGTCCGGCGAGTTCGGAGCGCTGCCCATAATACGCCGTCTCAACCTTGCTGAGGAGGTCCTCGGTGGTGTACTTCTCCCGCTTGATCTCCTTCCAGAAGTGGGCGCGGAGCTCTTCATGCTGTTCCGTGAATTTGGCCCATTTATCGTCCAGGACGCGGATTGCAGCCTGGACAGTGTGGGCGTTCAATTTGCTCGCCCCGATCTTCTTCAAGTTCTCCACGCTACGCAGTATGCGTAGGTAGAGCTCATGCTGAGCGTCGATTATTTGATCCATGTCCATTTTCTTTGTCACAGGTCACTGGACACTCACACGGTCACGGAGCACGCACTCACCCCGACGGCGAAGTTCAATAGGTGCCGGGCGCGACAAATTATGACCTGTCGATGATCCGGCTCGAAGGACCAGCAAATGTGCAATATTCCGTGCTACGCGGAGTGTTTAGTTAGTGCGCGGACGCGAGTGTCAAGTTTAGGACGGCACAGAAAAAAAAAGAAAAAAATAAAGAAAGTTCACGGCACACAATATATTTTTACAAATAATTACACAGCGCAAAAGAAACGCTCTAATGCAAGTGAACTGCAATTAGAAGCGTGCAATGATTGCCGGAAGTGCAATCCAACGACAAAATCGATCTCCCGCGAGAAGTGCGACGAAAATCGAGAAGAGCGAAAAGGAATGCTGTCTGTACGCGCGAACGACCGTACGCCGATAAATCCGTTCGACAAGAGAGAGCGTGAACCAACGTGATTGTTTTCTACCGACCTTCGAGAGAGTTCCGAGGTAAGGAACACCGTGTTTGTGTTCCTTCCACATGACGATAGAATCCTCTCGAATGTCGGAGGACAAAATCACTTGTTGTCGTCGGTTATATTTATGACGAGACGGTTACCTGTCACCGTTCAAAACGACAGGTATTGCGAGCGTTAAAGACGCGCGCGGTCTTGCGATATGGCGGGGCGCGTTCGCTCGCGATTGGCGCACGGGGATTTAGCGCGAATCGTCGCCAAATTCGAGCGGCTATTTCAGCGCAGTTAGCTGCGCTTGTCGCAAGGCGAAGAATGCACTCCGAGATGCATTCCCACACACCCACACACACACACTTTCTCTCTCTCTCTTTCTCTCTCTCTCTCTCTCCAATCCGCAACAATAACAGGTATAATAAACCTTAAACCTGATTTATGGCTGTCAATACCTAAAGCCGTAAATTGTAAAAAATAAACTAATCATATAGTTAAATGTCAGAAGAAGAATAATCGAACATAATGGATTAAATTTAAGGCTTACAGCATAAATTATTGTATATGTAGAATATAAAATTATTGTATATGTAGAAATAATCACTTGCCAATGAAAACAATTTTTATTATTTTATTATAAAAATAAGAAGACTGTGAACCTATCAATAATAAAATGTTTAATTCAGAATTAATTAATTATTTTTTATCATAATAATAAGGTAATCACTAAAAATACCTTCTAAAAACCTTTTTAATGATGTAGATCTGTTTCGAGAATTTTTTTTTTATTTATTTGTCTCACACTATCGTAATCAGATTTTGTAAGTATATCTTGAGATTCTGGAGATTGCTCAAAAGTGGAAGCCTTTTCAGATAAATCAAAATTGTAAGAAGAATTTAGAGATCTCAAAGTTGATGACATTCATTGTCAGACAAGTTTTCTTTATTAGTAGATTTTGAAAAATAAAGGTACAAGAACATATAAGGATAGTCTACTACTATTAAATGCTGCAATAAAATTCCAGTAATTAGAAATACAAACCAGATTGTGTAGATTTTTCCTGCAATAATCGACGAACAAGAGTTGTATTTTTCTTTGATGATGTAGATGAAAGATTTGAATTAGCAAAATATTCATTCGTAGACTTAGCTGAATTCTTGGCTTTGCTACTCTCAAATAATTCCTTGAGCTTTGAAGATAGAATTGAACTAGGTTTTGGAATATTGTGTCTTTTCTTAAGTTTCTTTTTTTTTTAATCTTCAACATACTCAGAATCTGATGAAAATGTTAGATGTTCAGGCACCTTTATACCACATTAAACCTCTACCATTACGTTGTAATTCAACTTTGCGTGGAGTTTGCAGTAAAGTTTTGTGAGATTTTGGTAAAAAACTATGGAGGGATCGTAGTCCTACAAGAATTATATCAACTTTTCTATGTGCAACACCTCTCATTGCCCCTATTTCTTCACAAATTTTAATAGATATTTATCAAAATTCTGTGTTAATTGAATATCATTCTGATCCTGGAGATTAATTACAAATTCTTCCTTTGAATCAACATCAGTCTCCACATTTGGCTTAAAACTAACATTGTCTTCATCTAATTCATCATTATTATTGCAAAAGTTGTTTTGATTTTCTTCTGAATGAATTGATAAATTATCACATGAATGTTGATTATGACCTTCTAGTTCAAAAATTTCTAACGCATCATTAACTTGTGTCAAAGTCTGTCTTACTTCTTCGGTCTTAAGACGCTTTCTGACCTCTTTCACAGATGAAGCATGCAGCTTGCGTTTCATATTTTGCTTTACATACAATAAATAAATTTAAGAGAATATATTATATATACCTAAATGTGTATATGTGACAGCATAAAAGTCTGCAAATTTAATAAATAAGATAATATCGCAACAGTACTATATATAATATAAATATGACAGTACAACAAAACACAATATGAAAGTAAAAAAATTTAAAATAAATAGAAATATTATCACAACATGACAATACAACAATACATATACATATATAAAAAGAGAAATATTATTCAGATGAACATAAATATTCACTCCTCAGCTTTATTTTAACCTCTTTGTTGGATTTTTCTCATGTCAAACTATATGATCATTTTCTTCTATCTTTATAAAGAAAGTGCGTCAGCCGACACATATATATTATTCCAACGCAAGGAACTTTATTCCATCAACGATGTTAATATACACAAAAGTATGTAAGATCTAACAAATATTATTTTAAAAATCTTAAAAAATAATAAATTTGTACTACACAATTCTCTAATATTTTAACTATAAAACTTTAAAAATCAAGAGGTTAATATTAATTAGCAATTATAAATACCTTTAATGAATTCATTTCCTTCGTGTTTCCAGGCACAATTAAACCGCCAAACAATCACACCACTAATGAAAATAGACCATTCGTCCTCTTCTGGATTTGTTCACGCTTGCTTTGTGCGTAGTACACGTGCACACGTGTCAAAATAAATATAACAATTGTATGGCGTCACTTTCGATTTCTAAAGTTTTTAGCGCCCTCTATATCCATGCAGGCCACAATGACGTCATTTTAACGTCATCGCAAAAAGGCTTGATATAAATTTGACATTTTAAAGTCAAAATGACATCATTTTGACACTATCGTGACTTTTTGTTCTACTTGGGAAGTCAATAATTGAACGGTTTACGAGATATTTTACATAATCTAACATATTTTGATATAAAAAATAAAAAATATTTTGTAAATAAAATATTTAGTGTTTGATAATACTTTTATGTATAAAATAATTATAGACAAATAAAAAAAGATACACAGTAAAAAAAATATACAATTTGCTACATGCAGCTATATATATTTTTTTGTAAAAACAACATTTTTGTTGTTTATACCAATTGTTTCGTCTAATTATTCTATACATGCAGGAGCGCAGGAGCGTACATAAAAGCAAGACTATTGAAAACTAAATATTTTACGAGATATTTTGTATTTTATATTAAAAATATATCAGATTATGTGAAATATCTCGGAAACTGTTCAATTCTTGGCTACATTTTCTTATATTTTTATACAGAATATTACAAAAAATCTATTTACATAAACACTTAGAATAATTATATATAAAATAATTAAATTAACTGAATAAATAAGCTTAAAAATTGCTTCTTACAAACATTTCTATGACATCAACTATGCCTCCCTTGAGATATTAAAACTTTTATTTGAAACATTTTTTTCTACAAACATTTTTAGCGATAAAAATTTGTAACGCTCATTGAAAAACCCGGTACATATTTATTACATCTCTATTCTTCCTATATATATATATATATATATATATATATATATAATGTTAGATTATGTAAAATATCTCGTAAACCGTTCAAGTATTGATTTTTACCCTGTATGCAGAATATGTTACAAGGAATCAATTTACATCAATACTTATTATTAGACTAATCAATATCAAATAATCAAGTTGACTAATGATATTGAAAATTGCCTTCTACAAACATTTCTGTAACATCAAAGTATGTATATCTCTGTTGAAATACTGGAACTTTTATTTGCAGCATTATTTTCTAAAAATTATACTTTTAGAAATAAAAAATTGTAACGTATTATTTAGAACACTCAGTAAATATATTTATACACACACATGTGAATGCTCAGTAAATATATTCATACACACACATGTAAATGTTAAGTAATTATATTCATACATACACATGTGAATGATATATATATTATATATATATATAAGAATTGCATGTAAATATATAAGCAAAAATATATATATATATATATATATAATATTATTGTGTTCAAACTATGTGATAAAGATAGACACAATTATGTATGTATGTTTTACTGTCATTGACACGCTTAGATAAAAACGCGTGTGCGAGATGATTCAACAGTAAAAATATATTATGTTGTCTAAAAAAATATAATATGTTAAACACAATAAAATTGTTTTTTTTTACATCCATGTAAATTTTTAATATATGGAAACTGCCGATAATAGCAAAATTAAAATTGTCGGTAATTATCGACAATTTTAGTTCCGTTTAGATGAGGGCGCTAACCCGTCGGAGTTCGGCCAACGCTCCGGCATCCGCCGCGTGGTTTAACAGCGTAATGCCGACGTTTCGCAAACGTTGCAGTTTGCATCTCTAGGGCTGAGAGCTCCGATATTGAGCTTTCTTGGGTTGTGATCCTTATATATATTGAATATGGATTGTTAGTTTCATCTCTCTATAATGATAAAGATTAAAAAGAAGAGAAAAAGAATTAAAAAGATATTAACAAACCATCTTTTTGATAGTGATAGTTTGTTAGTTTCATCTTTCTATAATGATAAAGATTAAAAAGAAGGGAAAAAGAATTAAAAAGATATTAACAAACATTCTTTTTGATAGTGATAGTTTGTTAATATCTTTTTAATTCTTTTTCCCCAAACATTCTTTTTGATAGTGATAGTTTGTTAATATCTTTTTAATTCTTTTTCCCTCCTTTTTAATCTTTATCATTATATAGAGAGATAAAACTAACAATCCATATTCAATATATATAAGGATCACAACCCAAGAAAGTTCAATATCGGAGCTCTCAGCCCTGAAGATGCAAACTGCAACGTTTGCGAAATGTTGGCATTACGCTGTTAAACCACACGGCATCCATTCGAAAACCTTCTGCATTGATGATTCCAATAGCCGCGAAAGTCTCAAAACTAGAATTTAAGTCTTATATTCGTCATATTATGCCGTCAATAAGACATCAAAATGATGTCAAAAGACGTCAAAATGACATCAATAAGTCGTCAGAAAATGACGTCTCATGAATGTGACATTTCGACATCATTTTCGGGTCTCATAGGACCTAACTAGGACGTCTCATTGATCGTTTCGTGACCAAAATTGGCCGTTAGTATGACGTCATTTTGTTACTTGGGTATATTTACAATTATATATATTTATGAAAGAAATAGTAGGATAGTAGTGTAATACAAAAAAATATTAATTTATACATAGTATATACATACATATATAATAATTATTTTCTTGTAACGCTACTATCTTATTATTTCTTTCATAAGTATATAATAAATACAAAAATGACATAATCTTTAAAAACTGATCTTTAAAAAAGGTAAAGAAGGCGCCTAGTATGGGTTCACCAGTAGTCAAAATTTATCCATTGTAAACCCATGGAGAATTGTACTTACGTAGAATCGTACTACAATAGTTATTTGTGTTACAAGTACGAAAAGTTGGCTATTAGTCACGAGTGGACAATAGCCAACTTCCGTACGTGACACACATACTATTTTGTATTACAAGTATATTCAAAGTGGCACTTGAGTACCTGATTTCTGTACCTGATTTACGCAGTAGACTGATATATGAATAGCAGATAGGGTTAGGTGCGTGTTGGGAGGGCGCTGAGTGGCGATAGTTTTGCCAGTTGTTTTGTATGTGCGCTGCAAGATGACGTTGATATTCTTGAACAAGGCTTGATACTCGTAGGCAATAAGTTATTGCCCACGGTTTTCCCGTGAGATAAGACTTTAAATATGACGTATGGAATATTTTGTAGGTAGATGTTGGCAAATCGTTATTTTGCGTACAGAAATCGCTTATGAAAAGTGCTACTTTGCATGCACGTGTAATATAAAATACAATGTGTTGCACGTACGGAAGTTGGCTATTGTCTACTCGTGCTGGTAAACGCGCACTCGTGACCAATAGCCCACTTTCCGTACTTGTAACACAATATACTATAGCAGCACGCCAAATTTTTTAACTAACACTTTTTTATTTTTTATTGATTCTTTATACGACTCTATATAGGTTTGCAATTTTAATTTTCCACTAATACAAGTTTCTACTTTTACTTGTAATTTTTATTATTTTTATTTTTTGATATCATTATTTTTGTAGTACGATTCTACATGGATTTGCAATGGTTAATTTTTCATAGAATTCTACATGAATTTACAATGGATAAATTTTGACTACTGGTGAGCCTATACTAGGCACTTTTTTACCTTTTTTTTAAAGATCAGTTTTTAAAGATTATTTTTTAACGCGAAGCGAGGTTCCACATGGTTTTGCAAGTTTAACTACGATTTTTAAAATTGATAGCGCACCTCGTGCAAAAAGAAACGCGTCTTTCCTCGTTAGCACACGTCCTGGTAGCGCACCTCGTGTGCTATTGAGAAAAGAAACGCGTCTCTTCTCGTTAGCACACGTCTCGGTAGCACATCTCGTGCGCTATCGGAAAAAGAAACGCGTCTTTTTTTGACAGCACACGTTCCGGTAGTGCTCCTCGTGCGGAAAAAAAAACGCGATTGGCGTATTATCGAGAAAAATAAAATATATAATGTGCGCTATCGGGACTATGTTTAATTTTCTTGTGTGTTATCGGGATGCGTATTAAAGGGATGTGGGCTATCGGGAATTATTTTTAATTTGACGTGTGCTATCAGGCTGTGCGCTATCGCACTCTGTGCTAACGAATCCCGCGCAACATAATGACATACAAATACAATTATATTACTTATATTACTTATTTTGACTTATATTACTTATATGTGACATACATGGTGCGTTCACAAAGTTTTAAGACTGATTTTTTCCTGAGTAGGGGAAGGCGCGCAGACCGGTTCCACCGACAGGATAAAGTAGTTGGGGGTGTCAGCTAACCGACCGTTCAGCGGCAATTGCCTCCGAGACGCTGGAGTAAGCAGATCGCTAGTGGCGTAAGTGCGTGTTAGTGACCCCTGTCGAAAACTCGGAGAGTCGAAAATGCAGCGTCATTTGGAGCAGCGTTATTTGATAAAGTTCTGTGCGAAACTGAACAAAACCGCTACAGAGACTTTTGGTATGATTCAAGAAGCCTATAAAAAAGAAGCCATGTCACGTGCAATGGTTTTCATGTGGCACAAGAGGCTCAAAGATGGCCGCGAGGACGTTGACGACGATGACCGCGCTGGGAGACTTTCAACAAGCCGAACTCATGAAAATTTGGTGAAAGTGCGTGAAAAATGACGGTCAGTATTTAAAAGTTCACGGACTTTCACCAAATTTTTATGAGTTCGGCTTGTTGAAGGTCTCCCAGCGCGGTCATCGTCGTCCACTTCCTCGCGGCCATCTTTGAGCCTCTTGTGCCACATGAAAACTATTGCACATGGCTTCTTCTTTATAGGCCTCTTGAATCATACCAAAAGTCTCTGTAGCGGTTTTGTTCAGTTTCGCACAGAACTTTATCGAATAACGCTGCTCCAAATGACGCTGCATTTTCGACTCTCCGAGTTTTCGACAGGGGTCACTGACACGCACTTACGCCACTAGCGATCTGCTTACTCCAGCGTCTCGGAGGCAATTGCCGCTGAACGGTCGGTTAGCTGACACCCCCAACTACTTTACCCTGTCGGTGGAACCGGTCTGCGCGCCTTCTCCTACTCAGGAAAAAATCAGTCTTGAAACTTTGTGAACGCACCATGTATGACATGAACACGATAATCACGAAGCATCACTAGTCACTGGTGCAATCTTGTGGCAAACGTTTCAACTGATCAAAATTTGAGTGAGTTCCGACTGTCACAGTATCAATTGAACACGATAATATTTCGGACACAGTCTCAAAATGACACAGTTTCGATTGAACATAGTTCCGATTGGACACAATCCTTTCAAACATGGTACTGATTGGACGCATACAATTGCTATCAGACACAATCTCAATCTGATACAGTCCCGATCAGACACAGCTAATCGGATACAGTGTTGATCAACTCAGCCCCGATCGGGAGAGGACTACGATGTCCATGGCCCACAGATTTGACTATAAATTATTGTTAAATGAATCATTTAGAACAAAACTAAGAATGGTCAAAGTTGCTTATTGTTTTAGAGAAATCGATCTTTTATTATCATAATTATATGGACTAATGTAGAACCTTACGGCGTGTGGAAGGTGTATGCGTAAACACAGTGGATACCGCCCTGTGGGAGGTTCCACTATCAAAAAACTAAACGCAAGTTTGGATTGAATCTCGCTTCGCGTGGAAAGTTGCAAACTCATGTGTAAATAAAAAAATCATGTGGAAATGTTTGGCACGATACACTACCATGTCTCTTGAAGCTGATTAAAGTTTGAGACATTCCTGGAGCAAATATTAAAAATTCATATAAATACAATATAAATATGCAGAATAATATAGCAATATAATATAGCAATGTAATATAGCATAGAATATAATACATAAAATTTTGATACATTAATCTGAAAACATCTCTTATACTTAAGAAATTGTCTTTTAAATTCCTGAAAACATTCTGGTTTTGTTAAAAATCATTTCTTCCACTTCTACTGTTACACATGTCTCTCTTTAAGAGTCACACACAAAATAGAATTAATACCGGTCAGATACACTCTGCAGAAGATACTCTTATACTCGAAAAATTGCCTCCAGATCGCAAAATAATTCTGCATTCTTATTAATTATGCGTAAAATATGTAATAAAAGATTTATATAAAATATCCGTATAATAACGTATGTATAATATAACAAATTCATTTTTAGCAGTTATTTGTTATTACTTTATTTTCATATTATTGGACAACACAGTTTATAATTAGCTGCTCATACTTTTTCTTGCAAACAATTATGTTTCTTTACATCCATTTATTCCTTTGTTTTTTTGTGCATAAAATTATTAATGTAAGATCAATGAAAAACGATATTTTGTTTATGTAAAATTATGTCGAACTTAAATTATAATTTAAGTATAAATTTAAATATAAAATATTTCCAAAAAATAATCCAATTGCCAATTGAAATATTGAAATAAAGATATCAGAGAATCAATTGACCAATACTGGCTAAGGTGAATAATCTTTTATTGAAAAAGACGCAACGTTTCAACCCCAAATTTATTATTGATATCTTGTCATGTTCTAATCGTAGACAGGAAATTGACATTATGATCATTTAGTTTTTACCACTTTCTTGTAACAGATATTTTTTTAACACTTATATTTATGATTTTCCGTATTTGTTTTGTATTGTCATTTTTTACTGAGATTTATAATTTAATTTGTAGCCTGAAGAGGATCCAATTCGGGATCGAAACGTTGCGTCTTTTTCAATAAAAGATTATTCACCTTAGCCAGTATTGGTCAATTGATTCCCTGATATCTTTATAAAATAATTTCGTAAAAACCATTCTCTTGTTGATCATGCTACTTTTATAACTTTTTATAATAAATGTTGTACGAAATCGATTTGTATAAGAAATTGAGAGGGTCCCGTTAGCATATGATAACAACTCAATAGCACATGTTTTTACCTATTAAAAAGAATTAAAAAGTGGCGCCAAGTCCACGCACCATGTGAAAAAATGTTATATAGAAACAGTGTTTTTACATTACTGTAAAAAACTGATCGAAAAAAATTTTTTTTTTTTATACAATATAATTTAACTGTATAATATAATAATTATAATATTAAGAATATTTAGTCGGATCTCTGAAATAAATACATAATATCTCCAGCTCCATCTTGGCCAATAGAGCCAAATGCAATGTTATTGCAAAAAATTAAAAAACTTAGGAATTCGTATCTTATGGTTTCGATCTCAAAATTTTCCTTCTTCGTGTTTTAACCCTGGCAAGAAAAATATTGGTACAAAAGTCGGCTGAATCGGGAATCGAATCCGAGACCTTTCGCTTGCCAGGCGACTGCTCCTTCAAATATTCTTAATATTGTTTCTTTGCGTCTGGGCCTATTATTACGACGCTTTGGGGTGAAAGCATTGAGAAAAGTATTGTTTCGTAAGTGTCTGAATAGCTCAGCAGTCCAGCAAACGAAAGATCTCGGGTTTGATTTCCGATTCAGCCGACTTTCGGACCAATATTTTTATCGCCTATTTTTTTACAGGGGGGTTAAAATAGGAACAAGGGGAACTTTGAGATCTTAACCATAAGATATGAATTCCTAAGTTTCTTAAATTTTCACAATAACATCGCGTTTGGCTCTATTGGCCGAGATGGAGATGAAGATGTTATATATAATAATTATAATTCTAAAAAAATAGATGTAAAAAGTTCTGTTTGTTAATAATTCAATTTCAATTTCTTAAATTTATTTGATTCTCATTATTTCCTTTAATATTATACATATATAATCTTTTAAGTGATAAAATTATTATCTCATTTCGCTAAGTTTTTTATTGTAATCTTTCTTATATTCTCGGTATTGTATTCTATATATAGCATTCATTCGAAATCACCGCATCGCCGATGTATCTTTTTGCTGTATTTAAGCGGTTTTTCTTGTCTCACGCGTCTTACCGCACGCGCTTCTTACTCTACCTTCATAGCGAAAATCAGCTGACTTAAATCGTCGACCTACTGTGTGTACCGAATAAATTCGACTTTATCGTGTTTGTTTAAAAATCTTTGTCTTCGATCAACATTCGTACGAGTAATATCGCGCTTTCAGTCGTTATCATGATTTTCTCTATCTTTTACTTGTATTATCTCAAGTTTTCGTTGTGCATCTAAATAAACTTTCAGTGCATTATTGTATTGACTGTTTTGTTTTGTAATCAATTCTATTGTCGAGGCTCACAATAAGAAAGCACGTGAGCCAGCCATGACAACAACGTGACCAAGCGAGAGGTCATGGAACGTATGCTAAATTTGGGGACTCACGGGCAGACACAGTTTAGCGTTCGTACCGAGACGATGTAGAAAGAGTTTTTTTAGTAACCGTCGTAGCGATTAGATGTAGAGTCAATTTGTCTATCGTCTTTTGAACAGACATATATAGTTAGGCGACAGCCGTCGTACTCAAACGACGAAGAAGAACGAAAGCAATGTATTATTTGTGATTATTAAAGTATTGTTGGAGCAAACGATTCTATTATCCATTACAAACCCGTACATTGGTCCTTCGAGCCGGATTTGTGAGCAATCAATCTAGTACAATGAGTGCACAGGAGTTGCGTCGACAACGAGGATATGTCAAGGCCAAGGTGACAAAGACATGGAAATACGTCGAGAATGTCGTTAATAAGAGAATAGCAGCGAACATTAAGACAATTACTGTACACCTGGAGAAGCTAGAACAGGCGTACAACAATTTTAATGAGTTACAACGAAAGCTAGTATGCACAATTGAAGAAGAAGATCTACAAGCCGATGATCAGAAGGAGGACGATACTTTCGAGGATCGATATATAGAATTGAAGGCGACGCTATCGAAATGGAAGGCTGCGCTCAAGCCTGCTGTGAGTGCGAGTGGCAGCAACGAGTCGCTCGCGCACGTGTTGGAACAATAGACAGAGGTGATCCGAGCGTTGAGTGCAAGTGCGCACAATGAGAACAAGGTAAAGCTGCCGACAATTAAGTTGCCAACGTTCTCGGGAGAAATCGAAGATTGGAAACGATTCTCCGACAATTTCGTCACATTAATTCACAACAGTGAATTATCGGCTGTTCAAAAGCACCAATATCTAGTCGGTGCAGTAACGGGCAGTGCGGCAAAAATCATCGAGTCTATTGAGATTTCGGTGCAAAACTATGAAATAGCTTGGAATCTTTTGAAGAACCGTTACGAAGATCCAAAGGCATTGAAGCGGCGACATATTCATTGTTTGTTTGAAGCACCCAAGGTCGGTCAAGAGTCAGCAGTCGAAATCGAGGAGCTGGTCAACCATTTCCAAAATCATTTGCGCATTTTGAAATCAATGGAATCCGAGAGCTAGTCTTGGGCAGAATCCTTGATGCTCTTCATGATCGAGAAGAAGCTGGATGGGTCCACTCGCCGTCGCTGGGAAGAGAGTATAGAAGGTAGAGGAGAGGTGTCAGTCAATTTACTATTTGAATTTTTGCAGCGACGCGTTTGGATGCTCAATCGATTGGGCAATTCAATTAGCGAGGAAAGGTCTATATCAAAGGGACCCGGACCGAAGTCTGGAAGGGTCAACGCTATCGAGAGTTCGAGATCGTTAAGAAAAGGCGAGTCCAGAGCATCTGGGAGCAATCAAAGAAATACACCCGTAAGTTTGGCCACGTCAACGGTTGCTGGGCGCTGTTTCGTGTGTAGCGGAGCGCATCGAATATATTTGTGCGAGAAATTCATAAATCTTTCCGAGCAGAAGCGAATCGAGAAAGTCAAGCGGTTGAGACTTTGTTTTAATTGTTTGAAGAACGATCATTTCGTAAGCGCATGTAAGGCGAGTTTATGTCGACGATGCTCGGGAAGACACAATACGCTGTGTCATACAGATCACGAAAAAGGTCACGCGCAAAAGGTTATCGCATTGAATCGCAAAACGGTAGATGGAAATTCGGAAAAGAGCAATAGCATCAATTTATCCGTGCACCATGTAGTCAAACGCGCAAATTTTGGTCAAGTTTTAATGGCAACTGCGGTGATATATATTAGGGATTCCCGAGGATTTGAACAGCCGATTTGCGTTCTTCTTGACAGTGCAAGCGAAGCGAATTTTATAACAAAGGCCGTGTGTGCCAGATTAAATATTAAGACGGACGATATTTATGAGGCGGTTTCGGGAATAAACAATACAATTTGTGCAATTACGAGAGGTTGTCGAGTCACAATTAGATTGAGAGTAACGAGTTATCAAGTATCGGCGTTTTGCTTACAATTAGTCGTTCCAAAAATTACACGGGAGCTGCCTGCGGCTGCAATTAGTGCTAAATCATTTTCGGTCACAGATACAGTGAAATTGGGCTGATCCTCAATATTTTCAGCCTAGTCAAATTGATATGCTATTAGGCAGCAAGTTTTTCATGAAGCTATTAGAACCCGCAAAAATCGAACTCGGAACGGAATTACCTACATTGCAAAACACGAAATTCGGATGGGTCATTTCGGGACCAATTCCCGCTCAATATGTCAGGAAGGAAAACGTCAATTATGTTGCGTGCATGGCTACACAGATATCTTTGCAAAAATCATTAGAGAAATTTTGGGAAATCGAAGATTGTTCGGGACGCGGGAGCATAGCAATGTCGAGCGAGGAATGTGCGTGCGAAAAAATGTTTGCGGAAACACATACTCGAAATAAGGAAGGTAGATTCGTCGTTCGTCTGCCCTTTTGAAATAATAAACACGAGCTCGGCGAGTCGCGATCAATCGCGGAGAAGCGGCTGATGTGTTTGGAGCGAAAGTTTAGAAGTAACGAATCATTTCGAAAAGCGTACACGGAATTCATGCGAGAATATATACAATTGAACCATATGACAAGCATTCCTGCGACCGCGACAACAAATACTCAAGCTATTTATTTACCTCACCACGGAGTGATGCGTAAGTCAGCTGTTAGCACGAGGCTTCGAGTTGTTTTCGATGCTTTGTCTAAGACAGATTCGGGCATATCGTTAAATGATACCTTGATGGTAGGCGCGACATTGCAAGATCCATTATTCAATATCGTATTACGATTTTGTGAGCAGCCGATAGTGATAACAGCTGATTTACAGAAAATGTATAGACAAATTCTGGTTCATGACTTCGATCGAGATTATCAGCGAGTTCTGTGGCGTTTTTCGACAGATGAGACAATACAAGAGTATCGTTTAAACACAGTAACGTATGGACAAGCGTGCGTGCCTTTCCTAGCAATAAGGAGCGTGCAACAATTAGCAAGCGAGACAAGTGATTGATACCCACGAGCGTCGCGAACGTTGTTGCGAGATTTGTACGTAGACGATATTTTGACGGGAATGAGCGATATTAATGAAGCGAAGCTGTTAATCGAAGAATTGACGCAATTGTTGAGAGCAGGAGGGTTCGAGTTACATAAGTGGCGATCAAATCGTATGGAAGTATTGACCGGAGGAAACGAGCTTAGCAATTTAACCGATGTTCAGGCTATTACGGACGAGCGAGATACCGTAAAAACGTTGGATCTTCTATGGCAACCGAGTAGCGACGATTTGCAATGTGAGTCACAGGCTGGGTCTGATGCGAGAACAAAGCGGAGCATATTATCGTCCATTTCTAAACTATTTGACCCGCTAGGATTGGCAAATCCTTTGATCATTACAGCAAAGATGATTATGCAAAGCACTTGGCAATTAAATCTCGATTGGGACGACGAATTGCCTGCGAACTTGCATCGGGCGTGACTAGAATATGTGCAAGATTTGTCGAAGATTAGTACAATGCGAATACCGAGACAGGTTGTCGGTTGTTCAAATCCAGTATCTATTAATTTACATGCGTTTTGCGATGCCTCAGAGCGAGCGTACGGGGCATGTGTATACGTACAGGCGATTGCTAACGATAATCAAGTTGTGTCGAGATTGCTCTGCGCGAAGTCACGTGTGGCGTTGGTCAAGAAAATAACGATTCCGCGATTAGAATTGTGTGGGGCAATGATGCTAGTGGATCTGATTTAAGTCGTTATCGAGTCATTAACGATCAAGATTCATACAATTTATGCATGGAGCGATTCGTCAATTGTCCTCGCGTGGATAGCGGGTAAGCCGAATCGGCAAAAGACTTTTATTTCCAATAGAATTGCGAAGATACAGTCAATTTTGCCTGCCAAGCATTGGGGGCATGTCGCGGGTAAAGAAAATCCTGCGGACTTAATTTCTCGAGGCACCACCTTTGATCAATTAGAGGCAAGTTTGTTGTGGTGGTCGGGCCCACAGTGGCTTTCTGAATTTCCGGAGCATTCGCGGCATGAGGCTCGTGAGTTGTCGAATCGAGAACGAGAGATTCTAATGTCCGAGGAGAAAACTGAAAAACGAGTTTTCGTGACCCAGAGCGACTCCGATTCCATTATCCGTACAATTTTTAATAAATTCTCTTCATTGACAAAAATTGAGAGAGTATTGGCGTGGTGTAGACGATTCATCGCGAATAGTAGGCAAAAGCCGTTGAAGCACGAGCGTGACAATTTATCAGTGAGAGAGTTGTCCTTGTCACAATTCCAATAATAAAGTACATTCAAAAACAGTTCTTTGCGAAGAAACTACATGAATTAAAGATCAGGGATCATGTGAGCGAGAACAGTGCTCTTAAAACCCTGAGCCCACTTATCGATGAAGACGGAGTCGTCAGGGTGGGCGGCAGGTTGCAGAGATCAGTCTGTAATTACGATAAAAAACATCCAATTCTGTTGCCGGCAAGGTGTCGGTTCACCAAATTGTTGTTTGAGCGGGAGCATTGTCGTATGCTTCATGCAGGCCCGCAGACTTTACTTGCTTCAATCTGGGAAAGATTCTGGCCTTTAAACGGTCGCAATCTTGCGCGTAAAATTGTCAGGGAATGCACGGTTTGCTTTAAAGTCAATCTAAAAGTATCGAATCAGATCATGGGATCATTGCCTCCAGAGAGAATAACTTGTCAACGAACGTTTTCGGTGGTTGGAGTGGATTATGCCGGCCCGATTAACACTTTAGCGAGTAAAGGTCGAGGGCAAAGATCGCGAAAATCATATATTGCGTTTTTTGTGTTTTTCAACAAAAGCGGTTCATATTGAAGCGACTAGCGAACTGACAACGGACGCATTTTTGGCCACGCTTCGTCGTTTTGTAAGCAGACGTGGTTATCCGCAAAAAATTTATAGCGACAACGCCACAAATTTCGTGGGCGCAAAACGAGAGCTTGAAGAGTTGTACACTGCGATTAAGACGACATTTAGCAATGCGATAGATGATTATTGTACCGATCGACATATTCAATGGAGTTTTATTCCTCCCCATGCGCCTTATATGGGTGAAATATGGGAAGCGGGGATAAAATCATGTAAATATCATTTGAAGAGAGTCATGGGCGAAGCGCGACTCACGTTTGAGAAGTTTAGTACCGTGTTAGAACAGATCGAGGCATGCCTGAACTCGAGATCTTTATGTTCATTATCATCCGATCCTAGCGATTTACAAGCCTTAACGCCGGCACATTTTTTAATAGGCGAACCATTGACTAGCTTGCCCGATATCGACGTTACGGGGACTTCAATTAATAGATTGGATAGATGACAATTGACTCAGCGAATAGCGCAGCACTTTTGGAAACAATGGAGTGTTAAGTATTTGACGTCATTACAAGGTCGATGCAAATAGACCACGGAACAAAGAAATTTAGATATTGACGATATAGTCTTAATTGTAAATGAAAATGCTCCACCGTTGCAATGAAAGCTTGGTAGAATAATCGAACTTCACCCAGGAGTCGATAATAAGGTTCGTGTCGTAAGCATTAAGACTAAACATAGTGTTATCAAACGTTCAATCACAAAAATATGTAAATTGCCTGTCGATAAACACAAGAATTAATTACCATTAATTGGTGGGCGGGATGTCGAGGCTCACAATAAGAAAGCACGTGAGCCAGCCATGACAACAACGTGACCAAGCGAGAGGTCATGGAACGTATGCTAAATTTGGGGACTCACGGGCAGACACAGTTTAACGTTCGTACCGAGACGATGTAGAAAGAGTTTTTTTAAATAAAAATTTTTGTACTCGGCTCGAATTATTGTGTTACAATTAAAATGAAATATCGACGGCAATCGGATGTGCGGATGTCATGCACAAAATTAATAAATAGAAATGAGATCTCACATAAAGCTCATTTATTTAATTCTAAACGTTTCGACCCACTTCGGGTCTTCTTCAGTAGCTCTAACATACAAAAAATTCAAGAAATCAAAGATAGTCATTACAAATAAAAAAATATAAACCTCAAATACATACAATCCGCAAAACAAATTAAATGTTCTTCTCCTCTCTATTCAAACTGTCCGGCCGTCGAAGTGTCTCCCTAACGGTGACCATCGTCAGGAAGGAAGCAGAGCACATAAGTGACTCCCTTACCAACACTAATCAAAGTCACAACAACAATATATAAATTAAACATAGAAAATTCACAAGAATTAAAATTTAGAAATCGGAGAGATCTCACCCCGGCAGTAAAAACAAAGAGAAGACGATGTTACACGTGACACATCACTCTAACGACTGTGCGGTATTCTACCTTGGCACAGTCGATACATATATACGCAAAAAAAACCAAAACATAAAATGAGTTTTTTTAGTAACCGTCGTAGCGATTAGATGTAGAGTCAATTTGTCTATCGTCTTTTGAACAGACATATATAGTTAGGCGACAGCCGTCGTACACAAACGACGAAGAAGAACGAAAGCAATGTATTATTTGTGATTATTAAAGTATTGTTGGAGCAAACGATTTAATTATCCATTACAAGCCCGTACACCTATCAATATAATCAATTCTATCTATATATTAATACTGTAAATTGACAAAAACTTATGTTGTAAAATTAAAAATTCCAAAAAATATCAAAACATTGCACCAAATAAGTAAAAATTTATACAAAAAATTAAAAATTAAAAAATAATGCAAAAATTGAAAATTAATAAAAATTAAGAAATATAAAAATTTTAGTTAAAAGAACTTGGCGCTGTTAAATTTTAAATGTACTGCAATGTACCTTGTCTGTAATATATCTCAAAGTAACAGATATTAATTTTATGTAAACATTACGTTAATAGTGAATAATTAATTTTAATATTACATCATAATAACTGGAATATTAATAGAACATAAATATGATGTTTTTTTTAAATCGGCCAACAGAGCCAAAGCACAAAAAATTAATTATTCGGAACTCTCTAATATCTCTTAGTTTGAGATCACTAAGTTCCATATATAAATTAATCTCAAAATTTACATATGGAGAAATAGGCGCGAAAAATATAGGTCCAAAAAGTCGCTGAAGCGGGAATTGAACCCGCGTCTTTCACTTTCCGGGCGACTGCTCTTACCAACTAAATTTGCCTTTAGATGTTAGTAAATAACGCCGTGATTAGGCCAAGGCGTGAATAAAATCAGAAAGAAATATTTTTATCGGCTCTCAATATTAAGAATATAAATATGTTTTTTTTTAAATCGGCCAACAGAGCCAAAGCACGAAAAATTAATTATTCGGAACTGTATCTCTTGGTTTGAGATTACTAAGTTCCATATATAAATTAATCTCAAAATTTACATATGGAGAAATAAGGTCGAAAGGGTCTGAATAGCTTAGTTGGTAAGAGCAGTCGCCCGGAAAGTGAAAGACGCGGATTCGATTTCCGCTTCAGCGACTTTTCGGACCTATATTTTTCGCGCCTATTTCTCCATATGTAAGTTTTGAGATTAATTTATATATGAAACTTAGTGATCTGAAACCAAGAAATACAGTTCTGAATAATTAATTTTTCGTGCTTTGGCTCTGTTGGCTGACTTAAAAAAAAACATTTATATTCTTAATAGTTAAAAATTAATAGTTAAAAAAAGAACACGTCCCATTCGTCGTTAACGAAACATCATAGCAATGGGACGTGTTCCTCTTTTAACTATTAATCGCTATGATGTTTTGTCAATGACGAATGGGACGTGTTTTTTTTTTAACTATTAATTTTATATAAGACCGGTGTTATGTTGCGTTAATCTCATTTTAATTGATGGAATTTTACTGATAAAGACCACAACCAAATGGTCAAAACGTCGTGAAAGTATTGAATAAAATTGCTAGTTACGTCAAAATCAAGTTTGCCAAGTTTTTTTTGTATAAATGTTTTATATGATTATTTTTTATTTTTTAGAAGTATTAATTTTACAACATAAGGTTTTGTCGATTGACAATTTTTTATATCTATTTTTCTAGAATTATAATTATATTGTACAACTAAATTATATTGCGCAAAGATAAAATAATATTATCATTTAAAGCAATTTTTTACAATAATGCAAAAACACTGTGTTTTGCGAACATTTTTTCACATGGCGCGTAGACTTAGCGCTCTTTCTTTATCTTTTTCTGAAAAAGATTCTACATATCATGATCAATTTTAAAAGAATGTGTAATACTTTCAAATAAGAAAATTTACCGTCACGATTCAATAACAAAATAGTATTTGGTCAGTATTGCATATTGATTTTTCATTATTTATTACGATAGATAAAAACGCGATTATCATATCAAGAAATTAAAAATTAAAGACTGACACTGATACAACATAACAAAAGAAAATCTCCTAAATTGTATCGACTTACCACTTTTCTATTACTCAACTCTCACAGTTGCTTTGGGATATTAAAATTGATAACGAATTGTTTCTTTTGTCGGAACGACAAACAAGTAAACTGACAGCAAGATGTGGTTCTTTTTAATCAAGGTGTAATGATTACTTTTTTTAATAGTTTCATCGATTAACTTCACTGCCTGTAGATATAAGTAAATTGAGATAAACAAACAATCTATGATAACGAGCGACGACGATAAAAGAATTGTGAGGCACAAATATCATATGTCGAATTATATATTATTGTCAGTGTTTAGAGTGAGAGAGAAGAAGAAAGAGCCTATCAGCACATCCGCTAAAAAAGTACGAATCATGTGAATATTTTTCTTGTAAAATGAGGTAAAATAAATTAGAATAAATATTAATTTTAATGTAATACATAATGCAAGTAGCTTTGACTTTGACGTATTGTATATTCTAAGTCACTTTCTAAAGATTTTAATTGTCATTCTTATCATTCAACCATTGTTTATTAAAAAGTTATTAACAAATAAATGTGCATAAAAATTGAGCTTTAAAAGTAAATTCATAATTCAGAAAGAAAATCTACTAAGTTCAAATAGAAAGATGGCCTGTACCTTCAAAGGTACCCAGATAGCCAATTGATATCAGAAAGAATTCTTAAAGTTTTCTTCTTCAAGATTTGGACATCCAAAAATTGGTTTCGAAAGCCAACATAATGAGATCAGAAAGAGCTCTTATGCATCGTATTTAGAGAAAAAAAAGATTTCTTCTGACAGTCACCGAAAAGATTACTTTTTTGAGATATCTTATAAAAGAAATCAAAAAGATTACTTTTTTGAGATATCTTGTAATAGAAATCAAAAAGATTACTTTTTTGAGATATCTTGTAATAGAAATCAAAAAATTATGAGATATCGTAATAGAAATCTTTAAATTAGATCTTTTTAGAAGTTTATGTTGATGATGCCAATAAAACTTATTCTAAAACATTCGAGACACAAAAAATATGCCTTTGGTAAAATATTTAGCAAGATCCCCAAAGGGAGTTTTTTGATGAAAGACAAGAGACAATTAATTTTCCTTCATATTATATTCATCCTTCATTCACATATATTTCTCTTCCGAGAGTTTATTTGCTAAATATTTTACCAGGGATTTTAAATATGTTGAGAGTAAATATTGAAGCTTAAAGGAAAATTCTTATTTATATGAGAAATCTTCACAAACAAAAATATACGATAATATTATGCCCATTTAGGGGTTACTATATATACATAAACATACATACATATATATATATGTGTGTGTGTGTGTGTGTGTGTGTATTTTGAATACTTAAATACAAATATAAACTTTTTTAAACATTATATTTATATTAATATATAAAATATAATATAATATATTTTTATAATATAAAATGCTAATATGCTTTTTATGATTTTTAATTAACTATAATAATTAAAAAATGATTATTGAACTTTAAATTATTTGATTAAATAAAAAAAATATTAATCTATAATAAAATAAACATTTTTAATATATATTTATAGATTAATATATATTAAATTAAGATCGTAAATATAATAAAACTTTAATAGAAATAAAAATGTGAAGAAGAAAAATAAACTATTATGAAAAAAATAATAATATTAAAATAAAATATTATGAAATAGAAAAAATAATATAATTTTTATGCCAAAATTTTAAAATTATATTTGAGCGTGTTTTTTTTCTATATAACGAACTCGATCACTTGCATGTTGTAGCCATTTTTGAATTGTTTCTTGTACGTCAAAGATTGTACAATTACGCCCGGAATTGATCATAATCTCTGAAACAGTTTTATATTACTAATTGAGTGGCAAATTATAACATGGATATTATATAACACTTATTGTTATTATATTAGTTTGTGTTTTATTACT